GAAGAAGTGCAAATCGTCTCAAGTTGAAAATAGGAATCTGAAGAAACCACTGCATCGGAATGCTAGGCCATCAATTCAAAAAACTGATCCCCTTAAAACCACATCTACCAAAATAAAGAAAATTAAAAAAAAAACAAAAAAAAAAAAACAAAACCATACAAATAAAGGATACCGTTTTCTCGTGTATTTGTATGGGTTTTCCGGCCACACGACCATTAGTAAGAACACGGGTTAGCGCAAGCAAATCGCTTCGTCGAGAGACCAGATCTATCTTGTTGATCACTAGAGATGAAGGTAAATGCGAATACCGATGGAGAAGGTGTAATACACGATGCTGAATGTAGTCTCCAGTTGCGGTTGCGTCCTAAAAGTAGATAATGAGTGAGTTCAGACCAATTAAGTTTAACATGTTCATTAGCTTTATGATTTACTTAATATCAATTTATTGTTTAAGGTTATCAAAAGAATCTTTTAATTATAAAAATGAAGTCTCTCTCAGACTGGGCTAAAGGTTGAGGATGACTTTCACGATTCGCCAATGCGGATAGCTAATCAATGGGCGACGGTAAGGAATCCCAAACGGCACGACGCGAAACTACTAGCTAAGAAACTTCACAAGTTGTGAGCGGATCAGAGTTCTCAAATACAATATCGCCATTAAATGGCTCTTTGAACCCAGCAATCAGATTTAGCAATAAGCAATTCGGAAAATATATTACTTATTAGAACTAAAGTGCCTGTATAGCGTAAGTTCGCAAACAGATTTATGTTTCGATTTTATGTGTGATTTCAGTAAAGAAAGAATCGTGAGTTTCTCATCTCATTCAAACGGCATTGCAATACCGAACATCCGCTCACACGTACGCTTTGACAGAACGGACTTTACGAAGAAAACCGCAACTTTAAAGTGTGCAGTTTTTACGAAAATGGCGCCTTTTTGAGCGTTTTCAGAGTTCAACGACGTGCGTTGTTTCAACCGACGTCCGACCGACCGACAGCCTTACTGGCCACGTGTTGACAACGCAAGACAGATTGCGTTCAAGTCCTCGCGAGCAGTATCGACCAGTGTCCAACGTTGGCAACGCGTGGCCAGTATCGCCGACGGTCGGTCGGCGACGCCGAATGTTGAAGACTGAAAGCGCCCATTGCCTTCACTTTATGAGCGCGTTTTCGAACTCCCTAGGGATTTTGTAACGACTACAGATGCTGGGAGAACATAACCATGAAGAACTTCATCAATTTCTTCTTTCTGAACTATTCTACTTGTTCACTTCTCTGCCCGATATACAACCTTAAATTGCCCCCAATCCAAGCTGTACATAAGTAATTCAAAAAACGTCCAAATGTGCAAAAGCCTCACCAACCCCACTTGCAAGTACTAGTACTAAATTTAGATCGACTGCTATTCAATGGCTTCACTTCGGTACCAACAAATGCATAAAAAAATAGCGAAATGAGATAAAAGGAATTACTCAAGAAAAAACAAGTACTTCAATGAGCAAGTTCGAACATACCTGGACTACAAGGATGTGCTCTGCTTTCTGTAACGCCGTTTCTGGTTCTGATACAATACGGTCCTGCTTCCTTGCCATAACCTCTCTAGCATGGCGAAGACCTACAGTTCCAGGAGTATCCAGTAAGAACAACTGTACATCATCTTCCGTTAAAACAGCATCAATGTTCTAAACGATGCACTTTGATCAGATAATCGAACTATTGTAAACTTGCTAAATAACTTGGAAAACAAGTCACGGTCAGTTTTGTACTGCAGATTACGAACTACTTAAGAACTATGGCCCACAAGCTCCCGACAGATGCCGTTGCCACAAAGTAATACAGTCTATGAATGGATGACTCGCCCGACAACCCGGCCCATCAACAATAATGGACAGGTTGACGGGCTTGGTCCTATTGCGTCTTTTGCCATAAAAAAGTCAACAGATCGACTCCTCGAGATATTTTCGGGCTTGGCCTTACTAGCGTTTTCAAGTAATGGTGCAAAACTACATGCTGCAAAACCTATACCAAAGGAAAACAGATAGAAGCAATAAGCATTGAATAATAATTCTCAATAGAGAAGAGAATCAAGCTAACTCCTACAGACAATAGCAGGAAACCTACTAGTAAACCAATTTCATAAAATATCGATTACTCTAAAGGGGCTAGTTAGCCCTGAAACCAGCGGATCAAAACACTTCGTTAGCAATCCGACGTCTTTCACAATAAGAGGAGAGAAGATAATTTCAAGATGCTAATTATGTTAATGCTGTGATCCGCCGGTAAATAAACCTCCCTATGCAGCACAAGAAAACAGGTATGTAGGGAATTTCTGCTCAGCTTTACAAAACTTTGACGTGGGCATGGTGAAGAAGACGATTTTTGCCATCTTTCAATAAACGAAGACAGCATGATCACAAACGATAATAATAAAAATAAATATCATTCAAAACCATTAGGTTACAACACAGAGTAGTAAAATCGTGTACGTACCTGTGTCGTGGTGTCCATCTTACTGCTTACGGAAGAAACTGAAGCTCGAACAAGCTGATTCGTGAGTAACGACTTTCCCACATTTGGAGCACCAATTACGGCGACATCAAGGCCACGCTGAAACCGGATGTTGTTAGAAATACTAGTTAAGGAAAATGAAGTAAAACTTTGCTTAGTAACCTTCATAACACAGAACCTACTGTTGTAGATGTGTAGTATCGTAATGCGAACGTGTGTAGTACTGCACAACCAGAATTGAGAGTGCGCAAAAAATACTTGGCCTTGAGCCTCATCTGAAGTAAAATAGACCTTAAATATCTTTGAACAAGAATCCAAGAAAATCGACATGCGAGATTAGACGTCTAAGAATGAATGGAAACGAGATAATACGTGCTGACGCTATTAGCCACTGATCACATCGAAGACGTATTATATGCCAACGAGGCGTGCGGCAGCACCCCACGCAGTGGCGCGTTGCCTTTTGGAAGTGCGGTGGAAATGTAGTTGGGGAGGGGGTTGGAACACTTCTCTTCCCAATAGTATACGCTAGAGCGCAGAGGAAGGAGTAGTTGACTTTATTTGTGCTCTGAGAATGTTCTTAACCAAAAAATATGGTCTAAACTAAGCCTTAGTAGGGGAGGGGTATCGGGAGGAGTGCAGCAGAAGGAAGTGGAAGCAGCGCAGAAATACAGGATCAAAAAAAGTAGTAGAATCATGCCAAAAACATAAATAGCATATCGTTCGAGATGTATGAGGAATGCTCGAGCTGCAAAACGAAGCAACTAGCCCACAACTGCCGCGTGCGGCGCACCAATTACACAAAACCGGTTCAACTGCCCGCCTCCCGGCATATTTTACTTAACCCCTGCTCTTACAATGGATTCTGAAACAAGCCTTTCAGTAAAACGAATGTGGTATTTTTAAATGGAACCGCGTGCCGCGTTCGCCGCAATAATATATGTTGTTGTAATGAAGAGGCATTCGGAAGAAAAAAAAAGCTGTAAAACGTCCAGACTAGAAATAAAGTCAACTAAAAAAATGTACTCAATCAATCGATCCTGGCGTTGCAAGCATATGTGAAATTTGTGAATGGTGCTCTTCTGAAGCCTTGGGTGAACAAGTAGTTGGGGGGGGGGGGCAGCGCCCCTTTGTGCTCTGCGTCCCTGACACCGGCGGCAGAGTGCATAGAGACCGCAGAGATGGATTCCACCCTTTTTTTCCTTTTTTTTCTAGAAATTAGGGGAAGAGCTCCTGGGTGGGAGTGATGATTATCTCGTGCAAAAGGCTGGGATGGTGTAAGAATTGAACATCCAATTGGTACACCCACCCTGGAGCTCCTTCCCTAACTTTTAAAAGGGGAGGAGCTCCAGGATGGGTGAGATGGTTAGATGGGGTAAGAAGTGAAGAGACGCAGAGCACAAAAGGGCCTGGCACCCCCCAACTACATTTTCATCGATTTTCCATGTAGTTCCACTGACCCTCACATCCCTCACATTATCCCTATTGCACTAATAACTCTATCCATTTCAAAGTTCCCTTTTTTTAGCACTAACCCTTGTGATTTTTTGCTCAGCTCCAAATGCCTATTCGCTTTAGTACAGTGTACAATGGCTCTGATTATATAAACGACGCTGCTAGAGGAAGGACTTCCCGTCACAGACGACACGACGTTTAGATCACGCCATCTAAATCTAGATCAATGGTCTTACATAGTGAAAACGTTTTGAACCGACCAGAAAAACACGTTTCCACTCTTGCAGTGATGTACTCAACTTTTAATTAAGTAATGCGATTAATATGTTGGTGTCTTTCAACAATCTAGCGATTACAAGAAAAACGTTCAAAGATCAAAGCATAAAAAGGATAATCATTCGAAGAGCTTCTGGCTAAAACAGCCGATGCGACGTCTCCGTGAGCCGGCGAAAGGGCTGATTGGGCATCCAGTGGCATTGTTCCTTACGCGTATTGATCGAGGAAGGCTGTACAAGGCCATGACGGTGCCGGCCAACAATTTGGGCAAAGTTTTACTTTACCAGTTATCATTTGCAAATCCTAGCCCTTCGCCTAGAGGTTAGAGCGCTGCAATTTCGCATTGATTAAAGGACGGGAATGCTATCGTAATCGGCGGCATCCCCTCCTTTAATTCGGGCTCTTCGTCAGCACGTTTGTGCTCAAAGCAACTCAGAGCGCTCCAGTGTCGCGGTGGCCTGGCTGCTCGACTTCCTCTGCTCTTCGCCTAACTACGCTCACTACTTATTCTTCTGCTCACGCTACTATAGTGAATTCGGTGTTATATTCTAATTTTGCTGCTTGCAGCCAACTACCTGCTTCTTGAATTAGCATATATGTAGCTCTGCTAAATATACTTCTGTAGGTAAACGAATTCTTGTGTATGTCGACCTCTTGAGCTTTACACCTGTTGTCATGAGCATATAGCGTCATGAACCTGGTGTGGATTTAAGAGGGAGACAAAAGTTGTAAATAAACACTTCACAGCATGGAAATTCCCTGTGGGTAACTTCATTCCATTCTTTAAAAGTCATAAAAACGTGCAAATCTTTCTGAAATCAGTGTGACATGGTTCTAATTCGTAATACTAGTATCTTCCTGTCTTCCTAAGCGGAACGTAGTTACCTTGCGTCGGTTTTCAACTTGACTGTTAGCAGATTTGCCTGATATCTCCCTATTAAGAATCCCATCATTATTATAAAGGTGATGTTTAGAAAACCCTCTTCCAAGTGAGCTAGTATCAATTAGTAGGCTGAAAGGACAGCTTGGAGTGACAGGGAAAACGTTAACTGTATCGCAAAGGTACCAACCTTGCCTAGCTAATTCTAACCAATTGATAGCCATCAACTCCGATTTGTGGCGTCATTGGTTACATCCACAAGTTAGCTCTGTTCCATAGTAGAACAACCAAGATGATCCTTACTATATATAAAGCGCTCTGTCCGTCTGTCTGTCTGTCTGTCTGTCTGT